TCACTCTGTTGGTAAGAATGAAATCACTCAAGCCACTTTTATTGGTTGGCACTCGGAGCATTTCGACATCCTACGAAGTGCCAAGAGCAGAGTGACAATGACGCATGTCCAAGGAGTTTGCAAGGTACAAGAGAAGCCAAAGCGGGACTTTTTGGTTCGCAAACCAGGAGGTCAAATTTGGAAATTTCTGCCTGGCGAAAAGGTCTATTTTTGGACTCCCCGTGCAAGAAGGAGCAGATATCGACCAGATCATGGCGAATGGAGAGGACCAACTGTGATTGTCAGGACAGCCATGAAAAATATTTCGTCTCCTGGGTGTCTTTTATTGGCCGCAGCAACGATTGAAGAGAATGCCGCAATGGAACTTGATGAACTACAGGACCTTGAAGACACCTGGAAGGACGACAAAGCAAAAGAATGGAAGGCACAAGAAGGCCTGCTCAAGTTTGGTAAGAAGAGGGGAAGGACGAAGAAAGATGCAGTTTCCACAATGAAGGGACTAAAGAGTGTGAAGAAGCTCATACAGTCAAAGTTCCAGAAACCCAGAAGGCACAAGAAGGACTCCAGAAGAATCAACCAGAAGAGAGGTGAAGAGAATAGCGTGGAAAGACAAGCTCAAGAAGACTTGAAGGAGTTCGAAAGGAGATGCGAAGAGGAAGGCATCCGTCCGGATGACCCACGTTTGCATTACCGCCAGAGGAAATGGAAAATTTTTTTGCGGAAGATGAACCTCTTGCTGATCAGGAGGCAGAACAGTTTTGGAAGGAAGTTCAGGCACAAGAAGAAGCCGACGACAGGAGGATGAAGAGAGAAAGAAGGACCAAGCAGAAAGAAGAAGGAAGCTGCTGGACGATGTGCCCTTGTCGTTGAAGCGTAAACATGAGATTGATGAGGGTCAAGGTGAGATGAAGATGCCAAGAACGATGTTCCAGCAGTTAGAAGTGATGGTTTCAGATCAAGATTTGAAAGGAAAATTGAAGAGGAAGATAGCAAAGGCAGAAGAAGGGAAAAAACTCCACAACCAGTGGATACCAAGAGAGGAGGAAGAGAGATGAGTCGGCTGTTGAACTTGCCGATCAGTGCAGCAAGATTGCATCGGACCCCACGTCGGAAACGTCAAGAATGTCCAAAGCAGAAGAAGACCAGAAGGATCACGATGATGCTTCTAGAGGAGCCAGGTCGGGCGTTGATGGTGGACGAAAGCAAAGAAGACATGAAGACGCCGAAGAAAAAAAACTCAGTTCTATGGAGAGGCATGACACTTTTCGTGCGTGAGACAAGGGTGAATGAATTCGATGGCAAGCTTGGACAGGAAGCTTTTGCCCAGTTAGAAGGAGACCTCTATAAGATGCCAATGAGGAACCAGGAGGATGTCGGCAGGTGGAAGGAACTTGTCGAAAGAGAAAAGAAGTGGCAAAGATACAAGCAGATCCTTTTGTTGAAACTCAAGGCATCAGGTAAAGAACTGGACCCAAGATGGTTCAATGAAGCTGAAGCAAAGGCTTTTCAGGACTCGGACCGGGCCGAATGGGACGCTGGGGTTCGTAATGGTGTCATCGTGAGGCTGACGCCCCAAGAAGCCGCACAAGTCCCATCGAGTGCCATCTTCAAGATTCCTCTGCGAATTGTTCGCGTGAACAAGTCAAAGGACCCGAAAGTGCTTCAGGCCAAAAGCCGCGTGGTGATCCCTGGACACATGGATCCAGGATTAGGTGAGTTCAGGTCAGATAGCCCAACCACAACTCCCACGGCAATCCGAATCATGAAGAGTTTATGTGTGACCTATATAGGTGGGGTTGCTATGCTTTTGACGTGGCAACAGCCTTCCTAAGTGGAAATAACACCGACAGATTGGTGTATGTCAAAGCTCCGGCAGAAGGGTTGCCGGGCACTGATGCTTCTACTCCGGTAGGTCCCTATGAGCTCATGAGGGTGGTGAAATCCGCCTACGGACTTTCTGAGGCACCCAGATTATGGTATCTTCATGCCGTGGAGTTGTTGAACAAGTGCGGCATGATCGAAATTCCTTTTTGTAGAAGTACTTTCATTGCCAAGGACGGAGAAGAAGTTTTTGCCTTTTGTGGTCTCCACGTTGACGACGGGCTACTCATCGGAAACCCACAAAACCCCAAGTTCGACCAACTTAGACAGGCAATCGATGGTGTGTTTAACATCAAGGCTTGGGAGACCGTGGGATCCAAAGGCACGGACTACTTGGGAATGAAGATCTTCTACGACCCAGAGAACGGCATCATGATTGATGACATGACAGACTATGCGCTCAAGATCGAGAATGTTGATCTTTCGAAGGTGACAAAGGGGAAGCTGATGAGCGAAGACTTGACCCGTTTTCGCCAGCTGGTCATGAGAATGAGATGGCCGGCGCAACATGTTTGGCCAGAATTTATGTTCCGCATCAGCTCCCTGGCGCAACGTGTTGGAACTGCTAGCTTTGATGACATGAAGGAAGCTCATAGCTTGTGTTCCGAGATGCATGCTGCGGCTCATGAAGGACGAGCAAAGATCACCTATCGTCCCCTCCAGGGAGAGCATTTGTTTGTCACATATTTTGATGCTGCCCTCGGACGAAAACATGATGGATCCGCCCAGTCTGGTGAATTTCATCTGTTGACAGACAGCCAAGCCTTGTTGAAGAGTCGGTGTTCCAATGTCTTGGAGTATCACTCGAACAAGATTTCCAGGATCGTCAGATCCAGCATTGCTGCTGAGTCGTGTGCATTGACCCGTGCTGCAGACCATCAGCTATACAATCGTCTTCTTTTTGATGCTCTCAGGTTTGGGCGAATTGATATCGGCAGTGGTTGGCGCTCTCAGCTTCAGATCCCAGGTATCCTTGTGACTGACGCCAAGGCCTTGTACGACCATTGCTCGACCACAGGTCACTTAGCTCAGGAGCGTCAAACGGCCATAGATTTACTCATGGCCAAACAGATGATCGAGGAAAAGCACATGGCCTTGCGCTGGGTTCCGACCTTCAAGCAGTTGGCTGACTCTCTGACGAAGGCAATGAAAGATTTACTTTTGATCCAGTGGAAGCGAGACGGTCAAATCTGTTTGATTTCCACGGACCAAGATTTGATAGAAGAAAGCCGTCGAGCCAGCATCCGGAAAGGACAGCGGGAACGACGTGCGGCGCGAGGAGCAAAGCTGTCTAGTGAAACTTTGAGGTTTTTGCAAGAGCATTTCACTAGACAGACTGTTCACGTTACCGTTTCTCCGCAGGTGACGTCACTCAGGCATTTTGCGACAAACAGTTGCACTTTGCTTTGCTTCGCGGTGCTTTGCTGTGCTATCTATATCTTGGAGCCCTCTCACGGTTCCGGTTCGCTTTGCTTGGTTTTGGTCGGTTTTAGCGTTTTCGATTGGTTCAACACTAGCATGTCCTCCTTGGATGTCTGTGCATGGCTAAATTATGGTTGTTTCGGCAGGTGGGCAGCACGACATGAGATAGGAGGTGACTTTGAAAACAATGCCTCTTGTGCAAACATGGGCATTTTTTTGAGAGATGGTGTTTCTCTGTGACAGGTTGTGCACGATTGTGCATTTTTTGGTTGGCCATCTCAAAGCCCGGTGTTTTTGGAAATGTGCGTGCAGCGTGAGTTGGGACTTGTTGGCACTCTGCGGTATTTTACTCCTGTCTCATCATGGAACATCTGGCTGTTCTGAAGTGGCGGGGTTGCATTTGGCCTCATGAGTTAGGACTCTTGCTGGACAACTCCTAACACCTCGGATACACAAAGTACCAGTAGGTAGTATAGTTTTTGCAGCGTCCATTTTAGCACCTAATGAATTTTTAAAAGCTATGGTCGCAACCACAGTGTCGGAAAGAGTGGCAGACAGACATTAAAAGGTCACAGACCATTTTGTGCCAGAAGTGTCAACTTTCCACACTCATGCGTTAGAAACGAACTCAACGGAAGTGCCACTGTAATTACCAGTCCAGAAACACAACAAATTGTCAAAAATGATCAATGCGCATCGTCTATATAATGAGATTCGTACACACATCTGAAGGCAGAAACCGCCCAGATACCAAATGAAATCTGCAGAAATGAAGGATTGACGGCTCATATATGGCTCAGATGGATTGATGGCTCAAACATAATGCTGGGAGTGACGGTTCGTTTGTGCTGGGTTTTGAAAAGCATTTTCATGCCATTTTGAGAAACTCGGAATGAACCAATTGTGACTAGTTGCAACTCATTGCGCAAATATGCTGGGATTCCAGATGGCCAGACCATTATTTTTCTCACATCAGGTTTTGAATCTGGAACTTATTTAACAGTTGCAACAAGGGTACAACACATTTTTAGCATTGTATACATACCAAACAACGGTCTATTGCCCATACATTCCATATTTTAATCTATATAGCGGTAGCTTCACAGCCTCTGTGAACTCAAATTGAATGCCGCTTCAACTGAAGTTAGATGGTTCCCAACCAAATATGTGCATAAAAATTGCACGTCAATCTTTTAACGAAATCCTCTTGCCGAATTTTGCCAGCCCAAAACAAAAGCCCCAACCCCACAGCTGATCTAAGTGCGCCCTAGCACTTTTCAACACTCCGGCACAGCTCAATGAACCCTCCTCACCCACCACTTGGGTCACAAGGATCATCAATCTGGCGAAAGATCGCACGAATGCAAGGAAAAATGGGATGAATTCGGAGGAAATCTGTGAAAGTTGCTGGGCCAATGGCCATTTGCCATGTTGCCGTTGCCGGCTTGTCAAACACAATTGACAGGTGGGAATCATTTCTGTTGGCCAATTTCCAAGGTTCTAACATCGTTTTGCATCCTTCAATCAATGGCCTGACTGAACAAGTTACCGCTGAGCTTGGGCCTGGCCCACGTTCAGGGATTTTTTGCACTTTCGCAGCTGATTTTTGACTTGATTTCAACAATGCAACATGCAGCATGGCATCATGACAGAAGGGCGACAGGAGGAAGAAGGCCCTTTCAGCCCTGACACTGTGTGAAAAACATTTGTTCGGTGGTCGTGGTGAATGCGAAATCGTTTTTGCTCCGCGGAGGCGCCATGGCTGACATAGAGAGAAACTCTCCCTATCGCTTTCACTTTGTCAAGAAGCAGGCAGCTGCTCTCCCCTTGTGCGTGCGAGCCTTCGACCATTTGGGTTGGAAGTGTTCACCTGCCCAGTCCTTATGTTTAGATGGGCCTGCTGGCAGCGTTTGCAAGTATTGGGCACAAAAGGTCTGCAGTGTTGCGGAGGAGCATGTGCGAAGTGCCTTCGGCCGCTTTGAGGAGCTTGTCTCGATGACATGGTCGACTGGAAGTGTTCCGTTGCTCCTAGCCCTTGCTGGTTCAGATTCCGAAGACCATGATGCCACGATGCATCTTGTGGAGGCTTTGCTCCACGAGAAGCTTCCAACGGTTTCAACCGCCTTGATTCATCCTGCAGATTTACGAAACCTTTCACATGCCAACCGAATGATCATGGAGAAACTCAGCAGGGAAAAATTGCCAGCAAATGAGTCCGTTGATGAGGATGAGGATGAAACCATGGAGGATTTGGCATCATTCAGCTTGCCGAAAAGAGAAGATGGCCGGGGTGGCATTGGCTTAACCGTTCTTTTGTTCCAAGGGGTTGATGCAGCTCCAAAGGATGTTCTTCGACATGTCCTTTCCTTCTGGCATGCGAGTTGCACAGAGAATGGAATGCCACTTCTCATTGTCTTTGGGCTGAGTTCTTAGCTTCTTCGAAGTTCGCGTGAAAGGAATTATTAGGCACTGGAAGATTCCGAGAGTCACTTCCAAGGTTGAAGCAATTGCCGCCCAACCGCCAATCTCTCTTTGATTTGGAAGAGGATGAAACTTGGTGTGGAATTCTCCAAGCTGGGGGCTGGGCTAGAGATGACACTGTCAATCTTTCAGACGCAAGGCTGCGGGCACAAAGGAACCTTTCCAAACTCTTGGTCCTCCCCCCGGTCTTTTTGTTAGATCTGATTCCGTGATCTAAACAAACACTCGTGGGGTTGCAGTGGTTTGGGTTCTTGAGTGTTTCAGGAACAACTTCCCTTCATCCATGTGGATACTGTGTCGGAAGCCCAGAACGACTTGTTGCGCAGTTTGGGAGGGAGAGGGCTGGGTTGCTTGAAAAAGGATGGAAGGTGACCCCAACCTGTCCTGCTAGCAGCCTGGCATCTGGACATAAACATAGAAGTCTAGATATGGATAAGTTACCAGGTGGTTTGCTGAATGACAATATTTTTTTTCCCCGCAACAAGGTAAGGATCTGAACCTGACAGACCATTCCACTGCTTGACCTAGCTGTGGCGCTTTTCACCTAGAGACGGACTCGAGGTCCCGCGTCGCGCGTCGCGCGTTTGGTAGGCGGAGCACCTTCTTTTTCGATCGAAATCCACGGATTTTGCATCGATTTTCACCTTTCTTCGCCGGGATCGGTCATGGCCTCCATCGATCGGACGTTTGCTGCGGAACCGCGGAACCGAGAGCATCCCAGACCGTGGTTTCAGAAAACATCTGCGGGAAAACCCATAGTTTTTGGGCGTGAAAGCAAGTAGTTTTGACAGGAGCTTCACCCAGGAGCCTAGGAGCTTTGCGACTCCGCTCAGGCAGCTCTTTGACTCCGCCCAAGTCTGTGATAAGATCATTGATGGTCTCATTGAGGAGCGCTCAGATGACCGCGCTCAACAGAGTCTAGGAGCCTCATTCTCAGTTTGCTTCCTTCATTTGCCACAGTAGGCTGCTTGCAATCTCGAAAGCAAACCTGATCTGCTTACCAGCAAGAATGGGGGCCAAACACAGGCACCCAACCAAGCCGTTCTGATTCTTGTGGAGTATTGGAGATGGCCTTTCAACTAGCCAGGACTGTTAGAGATTCCGCAGGGTGTGTTCTGCAGGACTGTTCGTGTCCGCTGAGCATGTGCCCCCAGATCTTGAAGCGCTTGAGGCGCTCGGGAAGATCAGGGTCCGGGTGTTTGGTGCTTTATCCTTTTTTTGCAAGTGAGGTGACCTGCAGATTGGTTTCGCACACAAAGCACAACTTCCACTGAAAAAGACCAAGTATTAACCAACTGCCAGCTCACCAAATACAGGAGATTCGGTGATCTTGTTTGTTTTATTGCACGAGGCTTGCTGGTTGGTCAGATGAAGCAAGTTCCTCCCCGCAAGGATTCTTTGACCCGGCACCAAGGGAGATCTACCGCTTTCAGCAGCAGAGCGTCTCCCACGTTTTGCGAGCGCTTCTCTTGCTGTTCGTGCGCCGCTCAGATGGTCCCAGGACAATGGAAGAGCTCTTGACATGGGTTCTTGGCACAGGACGATTCCCTATGCCTTGACATCTTACGGCTCTTACAACCCATGTGACCAGGTTCCATGAAGAACACACCCAGGTTTCTGTGACAAGAATTCTTCCTTGACACCAAGGAAGGACCCTTGCCTTGTTTCACTGGGTAAGTTGTCACCGAGGATGAAGCCTTATCCCATAGCAAGATCGCCAGGCCACTTTGCAGCATCAGTGAGGTGGCTAGATTTCAGATGGGCTGCATGACCAGGCTATTAGAAAGCAAAAACGACTGATAAAAAAACCTATTTACCTTTTCGATCCTTCTTGCATGCTCGGATCATTCTTGGGCATTTGGGCTTGCTTCAACTCTCCAGGGTGTGAACTGGAGTGTACAGCATGAACTCAAGTTGCCCGAGTTGGCTGCCGCTCTCCCAACCCCCGAGCACGACGCGTCAAACGCGCCTCCAACCACGCTCAATGCGTGGTGGCCGCGTTGGAGGCTGTGCGAGCCCTTGGGGCGGCCGGGGCAGGCCCTGGGCGAGTTCCACGCGCGTGTGGAGGCCGGGCCGCACGGGGGGTGCTTCAGCGTGTTTGGGCCCTGAAAAGAGGCTGCGGCTTGGAGGGCTTGGAGTCGACATTCGGAAGAATCCAGAATTTGTCCATGATCGGAGGCGATTGCAAGTGGTGGTGTGCCACAGCAGCTTCAAAAGCTGTGGCATGGAGAGGCGCTGGGAGCATGTTTCGAACAGCACCGCTGCGACATCCGAGCAGAAGAGGTCTAGCGGGAACCCCTCACGCGGCGTAAAGGAATCAGTTGAACCAGTTGACCAGTCTCCAGTTGAAATATGTCTTCCAGTTGAAATCAAACAGAAGCCTCCATTCTGTTCATATCTGTTCATCTTGCTTAAACGGTGTTTCAACAGTGTCCATCCTCCAGGTCGCCCCAACGGCAGGCGTGGCAGAGGCCGCTGCCAAGGCCGGAGCTCGCCGGCTTTTGGTCTCCTTCCGCTTTTTGGGAGATGCGAACGAGGAGGTTTTTTGATGCGAACGAGGAAGTTCGGCGAACGGGCTTTGCTTGGCTCTCTTGGAGCTCAAGCCCATTGTCCTTTCGTGGGTGTTGCAGGGTGCGTAGCAGGGTGCGTAGCAGGGTGGGTAGCAGGGTGCGTATATAGCAGGGTCCTTTTCGACCCGAACCTCCCATTCTCCGCCGGCTCACCGGCCTGGAGAAGCAGCTGGTCTGGAGTCTTCTGGCGCACCGACGCACTCTCGCGCTCGCGTGCTCTTTGTCTGTCTGTCCGTCGGTCGGTCGGTCTGTCTGTTTGTCTGTCTGTCTGTCGCTCCATTCAGCTCCATTTTCCGAAAGGCCATGACGTGGCGATGGAAGTTGGTGTCGTCCTTGCCGCTCTTCGAGGCAGCGAACCTGGTCTCTTTGAAGTGGCCACATTTGGTGTGGAGAGCAGAGTTGCTTTGGTCGACTTTGGGACAGTTGCTTCGCCCAAGCTGGGGAACTTGTTGGAGGATCTACATATCACGGAAGGCTTGCATATCTGCAGACATGGCAAAATGGGACTGGCATATTTGCCTACCTTGGGATGGTGTTTCCAAGGGGTGAACAACTGGGGAGCTTCTTCTTCTTCTCCTTCTTCAAATCCGATGTGTCGTGTTGAGGAATCTGTCCATTTGTCCAACCAATCCCTGCCACAACCGGAGCAGCATGTGTGCCCTGACGATCAGGTGCTGATGGTCGGCGCTTGGAGCACGGTCAAGTACCAAGTGAAGCTGCTGCTTGGTCACGAGAAAGTCTGACAATGGGACCAAGCAGCAAGGGGAAGGAGTCAGGATTTGTGCGGTCTTTTTTCGCCATGCAAAAAGTCATTGATTTTTGTATGTGCTTGAATTCCAGTTGAGGTCCAAGATCTACCACTTGTTGGAGGCCAATGACTGCGATCACTGAACGCAATCAGCAGTTTTCATACATGGCGCATCTTGAAGAAGTACGTTTGGAGGCGATTTGGCCAGTGCCGGCAAGTGAAGAGGAGAGCCGTTCGATGAAAGTCTTTTGATCGGTTCCGTCTTTCGTTCTTCTTTTCGCTCATTCAGCCGTTCACTGCAGGAAAAGCAGCGTGAAATGCTGCACCGTGTCTTCTCCCATCTACAGGAGACGTCACTCCCTCAGCAGACTCCTTCTCACTCCCAGAGAATCGGACGAACGCTAACATTCAGCCACCGAGCGGCTCGCACGGGCGACCCGGCTCTGTGACTCCGAGCTCGTCCTCCGCGTCGGGCGTCGGGGCGGAGAACCCAGGCTGCATTGCGTGCCCGTGGAGCAGCTTCAGAGGCCCCAGATGTTGGAACTCAGTTATTGTTCGAACGCATGGAGGTGGTGAATGTGAAGGTGGGCGTACGAAGTGGCTCCTGAACCGCGTGGGTTTTCTGCCCACGCCCTTGTAGATGGTCAGAGGAATGAATCTCAAGGTCCAACATCTCCACCTTTTACTATTTTTCCGCTTAATCAACCGTCCACGTGACCATACGCTGGTCATGTTCTTGATGATTTGTGGATCCTTTTTTGGCAGGTTACTGCTTGAGCTTGTTCCTGTGGCATCCTGTGCCTTGGCGAAACAGGTTCGCCATGCCGTGCTTTTTTCGCTTGTCGCTTGTCCCTGCAGCTCCCTGCTGAGGCTTGCCAGCGGCTCTTCGAGACGAGCTTCAAGGCCTTGTGAAGCAGGTGCGGCTCTGTGCGAGGCCAAGCGCCCAGCTTCGCCAAGCGACGCGAGACACGGGGCGCGTCGTCGCGTCGCGTGGTTCACGCGACAGGCGTGTCAGAAAGCGCAACGTGATTCATTTTTTGGGCAGGTGGTCCAGAAGTGTTTCAAACCCTTCGAGAACTGTGCTGTTCACTTTGTGGCAGGCAGAAGGATTTGGCGAGAGTCATGCACGAGCCAAGAAAGGCGTTGGAAGCTTTTGGTCTTGTGGAGCTCTGCCCTTCGAACCAGCATGCCCAAGAGCCGTTCGGGATGATGGGTTCCCAAAAGCTTCATCATTTTTCTTTACTTTCTGTGTCATGACTGGCATACCATTCTTCTGTGGCAGGGACGGATTTGCTACTGGCCCTGGACCAATTGCGGGGTGCATTTCGTCAGTGGGCCGGGAGCTCAACAACATTTTCCATTTGCAGATGCATCCCCCAGACACACCTGCAAATGCTTCCATGTCAAAGGTTGACCACGTGCGTGCAGAATTCTGGCCTCAGCCTTAACTCCTTTGGCCTCACGAAATGACTCTTTTAGAATCGAGCCTACCTCACAAGGCAGGTCTGTGACTCTTGCATGATCCTTGCTGTCCCACCAAGCTAAAAACTTCAAAGCAGTGTATCAATCGTTGTGTCCGTGACATGCTAAGCTTCACTTCGGCCCTGTGCACTTCCTGGTCTCAACCCAGCGCAGCGCCGGCCGAACTCGCCGGCCGAACTCCGCGTCCGTCTTCGCCCGTGAAGACACGCGTGTCTGCGAGGCGGCCTTTGGATGGAGCAGCCCGAGATCTCTTCTTGGCACCTGGAAGTCTGAATTGCCACAAGGCCGACCGACCAGAGGCGGAGGTCGGCAGGCTTGGCAGGCTGGTCTCAGGCTTGGCAACCGAGACTCGCCCTTGTTCGGAGACTTGGGCAAGTCACCCCAATCCAAAGAATCGGAGCTGGAGGACCACTTAGGGAGGGAAGGAAAAGATATGAAAAGATCAATCATTACGTCAAGTTTGAAGATGAGTGATTATGATAGGCCATGATAGGGCCATGGTTTGGGTCACATTTCCTGGTGGTGCTTTCCTGCATTCTTCCTGGGCGCCACAAAAATAACCGCCGCAGAACTGCTTGACAGCTGTGGAGAAGCGCCTGACGAGCAAGTTCGAGGTTGGATGGTTGGATGAAACGGGCCGAATCCAAAACGATCTAAAGCTCAATCAAGGGACATCAGGATAGCTGCTCCAGCCTTTCATCCATTTTCATCCCTTTTGTGGATGACTCGGCTGCTCGGCCAAATCGTCCAAACCACACATGGTTGTTTACTGCATAAATGGATGATGCTTGGATTGATGATCTTGATGGGATGTTTTCTTATGTTTTCAGTTTTGTCCGAGTCTACGATACGTTTTAGTTGAAGTTGAAGCCTGAATTTGCTCTACACCGTCTACACTTTCCGACTCTTCACCTGGTCTCAGTCCCGACTTTTCTTTGAACTCTAGACCTGGCAGGGCAAGCTGCAATACCTGGCGGCAGAAGGGCTGGGCATGGAGGAATCCATTCAGGATGTCCGGAATCGCGGTAGACACGAATGTGACGAACGCACGGCAGACGTAAATCACGTTCCAGTTGAAGATCGCCTTACAAAGAAGAGTTGCCAGTCGTCGCAAGTTAGGCTGCCGTTTCCTTTGCAATGGCGCCGAGTCGTCTTGAGGCCGGCCAACCCCTTGCAGATGCTGCGCTGGTCTTCCAGCAAGCAGCCGAGCAAGGGAGGGGAGCAGCGAACGAGTTCTCAAGGGGTGTCTGTTTCTTTTTAAAGAGCTTGAATTGGATGATGCAAGCCAGTGCAATCCAAGATCAGCGAAGCAACTGACGAATGTAGAGAATGGTTGAACCTTCTTCACGTTATGCACCCCAAAGCCATTTCCAGCAGCGGTCCTTTTTTCGCCAAAAGCTGTTGTTGTCTCGCGCAGAAAAAGAAGTTGCCACGCAAAACACGCACTGGTCATCTGCCTCAGGCTGTTGGAGTCTTCTTCCGGGAGGCAGATCAAAGTGGCTGAGCTTTGGTTGAGCTTTGCTCAGCTGGTGAGCCCCTTCAATGCAGCTGAAGTGACCGTCCCCAGCTGAGTCTTACGGTGAGTCTGACGCGGTTTGGGGTCCTGGCAGGTCGGTCGCGCGACGTCCACCGGGTGTGGATGGACTGACTCAACTAGAGTGTTTGCATGGTGTGACAGGATGCGAGAAAGCATGCCAAGTGGCTGTGTTCTGGCTGGGTTGAGGAGGCGATGTGCAGGTTTCGAGTCTGGCTTCAGGCCCTGAAGACACGAAACCCTGCAGAGAAGGAGAAGGAGAAGGATCTTCAGGCGTCAGCGGCGGGTTTCGCGGCGGGTTTCAAAGGGTTTCAACAGTGGCCGGAGGGTTTTTGCCTTATTGAATGCGGTTGCATTCAGTTTCTTTTGGATCCACTTCTCAGTGTCAGCAGGGTGGAGCAGTCCTAGTTCCACTCCTCCAGATGGTCCTCTCAGAATCTTTCGTGCAGTTCCTTGTGACCCTTTCCGCCGGAGGGGCTGAAGCATCGCTTCCAACGAGCCCTAATGACGCTACACCATCTGGGGCCGGGACTGCTCAGTGGCGCAAAGCAAACGCAGATTTTGCGCGTGGGGTGGATGAGCTGTGGAAATCATGTGAAGAAAATGCGTAGCTGCGTAGCTAATGGTATGCGTAGCTCGGGGCTCGGGCATCCAGACTTAGAAGGATTTGATCAGGGCACCTTGCAGTAGTAGCAGTGTCAGCAAAACCAGCCAAACAACCAGCAAAACCAGCTTTCCAAGTGCAAAAAAATACGTTTGGAACTGCAAGTCTGCAGAGTCTGCAAGGTTGTTTGCCCCAGCTGCAGGGGGTGCGCAAAAGTGCCCTGGTCGCATTTGGGAAAAAGGGTTTAGGGTCTAGGGTCCTGCCGGATGTCCAAGCCTTATCCTAATCCCAAGCCCGGAATCCCAAGCCTGGAGTCGCAGTGCAGGATGCAGGCTGTAGCATGTTTTTTCAGCTCCAGACTCCTGCACGCTGCAACTTGAGGGGACTAAGTGGCTGGCGGCTGCGGAAGCGAGTGTTTGGAAGGGCACTCCTCCCGTGCTTGTGGAAAAGCTTTCGACTTTGACCAGTCATTTAAGAGAGCAAGGAGGAGAGGCTGGGGACTCACTGCGAAGGAAAGCGAAGGAAACGTTCAAGCTCTACTTTTTGACCAAAATCATTTTCAGAAAATCGCAGAATTTGTTGAGGGGAACATCTACAGGAGACCCATCGTTTTTGGGGTCGAGAATCCCATGGTTTCCTGTAGATTTTCCCTGGAATAATTTCGACAGGACAGCTTTTGAACTCCTTTGTCGGATTTACGGCCAGGTGTGGCTGCGGGACAATCGTCCGGGATGTAAGGAGGAGAGGACGTCCGCTACAGACCTGCCGTCCTGAGGACGTGATAGCTGCGCCTGGGCGGGTTCCGAACGATCCAGAAAAGAGGAACGTCATGGAAGGATTGATCATCGTAGTGAGCCTCAAATCATTGGACAAGTAGACATCCCTCTAAGTTCCAAAGACGTACCGGGCGTCCTTGGCGAGACTTCCGTTCAGGGGCACTTCGTGGTCCAAAGGTTTCAGTGAGATGTTGCTCGTGCTCTTGTTCACGGGTATGTCCGGGGCGGAACGAAAGAAGAAGGGCCTGCTTGGGGATAGGCCCACGACGGTTCTTTTCCATACTTCTGATTCTTGGATCTGCCAGTGAGACGCCTGCCAGTCCGTGCCGCTGGCGTTTCTACGTTCTCCCCAACCTTTCCCGTGATCTAGAGATGGACAGCTCCTATGCCTTACGGAAAACATCCCTCCGACACCAGGAGGAGAGAGCTCCGAAGCTGCCTGATCCGGCGACACCACCCAAGGCATCACCAGCGCCCAAGGAGATCCGAAATCAACCAAGCTGTCGGTTGGAACCCCGCGCCTTTTTGTTCGCCATCGACACATGCGGATGGGTCGTGACCAGACCAACCATGTTCATCCGACTGGTCGGCCCGAAGAGATCCGCCGCGAAAAAACACTGGTCGGAGTAGGTCAACCCCGGTCGGTCTGGTGCCATGCACCCACCAGTAGGAACCCAATTTCTGGGAAGATGTTTCTATAGGCCGGTGACAGTTGGGTAGATTCGGTGTAGAAGACAGTTAGAGGTACTACTCATTTCTTCCTACACATGGCAGACAAAGAGGTCCGCAGTTGGAAGAAAAAAGACTGTAGAACACATCCTGTCACCGTACCCGCTGCACCCACTTCGCACGTCAGGTCCGGTCTTCCACTCCAACCGGTCCCACCGGTAGCGTCCGGGGGTGGCACCGGTCCGCTTGGAAATGGAGACCAAGCATGTCCCTGGCAGGCCAGTTTTGGGTGTGAGGGGGGGCACTTTCTCTCCATTTTCGTCACGTCATGGACTTGCAACAACCCTTTTTTCTTCGATACATAGTGACTCTGAGGAGGAACTGGCGACGCCTTCTCCTCCAACAAGGACGACTGGTAAATACGAAGCTTTGAGCCATAGTTTTCGAGGCATTTCGGCGTCACAATGTTTACTTGGTCAACTAGCCAACGTCCAAAATGACGACTAAATGGTAACTATGTTTAGCTTTCTGGTAACTTCTCGAGGCATTTAGTTCTTAGCCATGGTTAAGAACTAGTCAACAGCTGCTTCCAACGTCATATTTTTCGCTGTTTTGCGAAGTCTGGCGAGCATGGGTGAGAGTCGTCGCAGGGAGAAGCCCACGAGTGAGCCTGGTTCCAAGTGGTTTTCGATCGAGAAGTTTGAGGCAATCACCTCGACAGGTGGTTCAAATCGTGTTCAGACCTCCCAGATGAGATACATTTATGTTTTTTTTTTTTTTATAGGGTCTCTTGGAGCTCCGTGTGAGCGTTCCAACGTTTCTTGAGATTCCATCAAAAAGGGCTTGCAGTGATGAAGGAAGTTTCAAGCTGGTCGGGCGCAAAAGGATGTCAACAGATTGTGGGTTCTGGTTTCTCCCATGTTTTTGTTGCTTAGTTAAATTCTTATTGTTACTAGTAGTAAGGCACTTGTTCCTAGTAGCTTCTTGTTACTACTAGTAAGGCACCTGTTACTACTAGCGTGGCACTTGTTCCTACTAGGAGTGCAACTTCCAACACCCGTTCTTGTTGCATGATGTGCGTTTTTTGTGGAGGAGGACGCCTTCAGACTGATGTCGTGTGGCCCCCCACCCAGGCCTTTGGCACCTGGAAACAAGTTCCTCAAAAGGCTGGTTGATTTGGCAGTGACTCTTGTCTCAGACTGGGTCCCAGACGCGAAATCCGGTACGTGTGAATCCGGTTGGTACTTCAATCAACGAAAAGTCCCTTGGACATCCTCTCCAACGAATTGGACCCTACCCACCATTCATTGGAATATGACTGTATATTTGTATATAATGCTAGAATTACTTGGAAAGAAAGATAAAGTAAGATTATGCATGAACATGAATGAGTACCCATTCATTTTCATGGCTGCATGGCTGCGTACAGCTTTGAAGGAGAACCCGGACCTCCCGGACTCCGCGCCGTCCGCGCCGTGCGCCAGGCTTCCATTTGGACGGCGCTATGACTCGCCGAGCCGAAACGAAGAGATGTGGCTCGGCAGACCGAAACGAGAGGAAGCACGGCGTTCTTCCTCATAGATATTATAGCAGAGCATGTTGTATCACTGGATGCCAGAAAAGAGCCAGGCTAGGGGTTTAGAGGTGCTTCTCTTTTTTTGTTTAACGCCCATTCATTGGAACACTTCCCTTCAGGTGTCAGCCAAACAGAACCGCCCCTCCATACTGTGTGTGCTCAGGCGGCGTGAGAAGAAGCGACGATCTGAACGTGTTTACTATGGGTAGAAAGGATAGGTACATCCCTCACCTGCCAAACGTTCCGTTCTTCTACAGGCTAATCTTTTGACAGGGCAGGCATACGAGATGTTGTTTTTTGTGGGGTTAGATGGCTAACGACAGGGAGTCTAGCCATCTGGGAAGCATTGCGCACTCGGTGAGTGCAGCGCAATGCAGCTGCGCGGCAACGCGCGTTGTGTGGGAAAAAGCAGGGACCGACCGGGTGGAGGGGCTTGAGGTGTGCGAGGCACTGAGATTTGGGACATGGAACGATGGATTTACTGTAGTCAAAGCTACATAGACTCCTAGACTTCGTGGCCTTGTTGGGACAATGTTTATTTGTTTATTTTTTTGGGGGGGGGCGGCGGGCACGTCGTCCTTTTTTGACGGCAAATAAGTCAATGTACAGCTCCTACTTCTGGGGATTTTTGAATCTGAAAACCTCCTCGGACCGGGTCGTCCTCTGTCGCTTGGTTGGATCATCTTTCTGGCAGCATGATGAGTCGCAGGATGAGAAGCTCAATGCATCGCTACTAGTAACAAGTGCATTTCTACTACTAGTAGCAAGAAGCTCAAGTGCATTTCTACTAGGAGCAAATCGCTAGAAGCTCAAGTTCATGAAGCAAATCGCTACTAGTAGCGATGCCCTTGCTCCTACCTAACAAGGGCATCGCTACTAGTTGCCATTTCTTTGGGTGATTGGCTCTACCCCGAACTCTTCAGGATCGTTTTGGGCGAAATCTGGACCAGCTCAGGCAAGGTATACGAGGCGGTTCGGTTCTGCTGGTTTTGGCCGTTTCCTTTTTGCTGAAGCCTTTGTTGGGGTACAAGGGCCGTACATCTACGAGGGTTTTTTAGGGTCGCAGCGGTGCGGCTGGCTCGTTTGCCGGGGCACGTACTTTGAGTTGTAGAAGTTGAATCAACAAAAGGACTCACAACCGCAAGAACAAGCAAGAAATCACCTGCATCTCTGCATCATATCAGGGCTGTCCGCGGTCACTCTGTTGGTATTTGTGACTTCCATGTGAGCAGTGGTGACTTCGTGGTGTTCACCTCGGACTGCCAGGTGGCGACTGGTCACGCGCGTGCCTTTCGTCTGATTGGAGCCAGTGATGGCAGACAAGAAGGACCTGCCGCTCAAAACGCGCGGGGTTTTTGTTCGCGCTTGCCTCCGAACCTGGCGCGCCAGGTTTCTTCCCGCTGCTAGGTTCTCCAAGTATCTCCAGCAACTTCACATGAAACCCTTCAGATCTCTGTCACTTTCGGTTCCCCAGAGGTCGGAGACGTCGTGGTGCGAGAACGCTGGACCCGAGACGTCGGCGACGTCGCGTCAGACACGTCGGCTGCCGCTGGACACGCCGAGACGCGGCAGGATGACAAAGACGCCATCTCCTCCAAGACGCCGGAGGGCGGTAAAGATTCGATGCCAACACCTTTGAGCGGTGATCGCCTCGGCCGAAGCGGAGTTCCGCGCATTTTTGTGCACGAGTACGTAACAACCACGTGCATCGCTACGTTCGTAGCTAGAAGCTACTGTACCCCCAGCCTTCCTAGACGAAAAGAAAGACTTGTTACTAGTACGAAAGAAAGCCCTGGCGGTGCCAAAAAGCAATAAAAGAGGACCACAAACACCGAAACGAAGAGGAGCGCCCGTTCTTCTTACGCACTGGTTCTTCTTCGCGACCTTTTTGTCTGCGCCAGGGCAAGAAACTCCGGATGACAAGGACAAGAAGAAGAAAGATAAAGCTGGGAGCGCCAAGGGTGCGAAGGACACCAAAGGAACCAAGGCAGATTGCAGCTTCGCCATGTGATGAAATGTGATGAATACTGGGCAGGGAGGGATGAATTGACACTGTGACTTGGGATCTTAGAGACGTTGTTTCGGAGCTTTTTGGGTCTCAGAACATCCACAGCCCTCCTTCCGAAACGCGCCTTTTCAGCGTTGAGCGGGTGCGAACCACCCGCGAACCACCCGCCAGTCGGAAGTCTACAAGAGCAGCTCCGTGGGAGGCGCCGCCGAGGACAGGGGGGGAGGAAACACGGGCGGCCGTCTCGACCGCCTCCCCCCGTTTTGATGGTTCTGAATCCCCTTCCCCAAGGATTCAGATGGAAAAGACAAGGCCAAGAGCAAGCGGGACATGGGGAGTCTTTCCTTTTTCCAACTACAATTGCAAACTCGTGGCGACCACTGGCTCTTTGTTTTGGATGTGGTGGAAGCAAACCGAAGATGGACCAGTCGGTCCAGGCTGGTCGTGGTACCACCATCTGGTACATCGATCATGACTTAATGGATTGGTCAACACATCTACAATCTACGGGAAATGGTAGAAAGGGAACATCACCATGGTTTACCATGGTTTTTAATAATTAACTTCAAACATCTATGGGTTTCCTATATATATATAGATGTTCCCTAACACGGAAGTGGAATATAGGGCGCTGGAAGACCATTTTGCTCTATGAACAGGTTTCCACTTGCAGATGAGTGAGTCGGAGAGTAAACAATTTTTAGCCTATTCAGAGAGGACACATGATTTACAAAGAATGGCTTGGTTCAAAGCTCTGTCACTTTCTTTCTCAGGAGGTCTTGGCAGAGGATGGAGAGGAAGTGCATCAAGCTACTCCTATTTCCAAGGCCTCAAAGAACTTGGCGTGCTTCAAAGACTTGGGGATGCCCGAAAATGGATCACTTTTGATCTCTATCTAGCTTCATCTCCACGAGTCTTTCGTTTTGTCTTGATGATCTTGGACAGACCCGATCTGTTCTGAACACCAAAAGCAGGGCACCGACACTGAACACCTCTCAAAAGGGGCGCGGACAGATGGCAGGTCCGCGCGGGTGACGGACCCGCATGGGTGCCGTACGGGCCGTGAACAGCTCTCAACCGACCGGCCGAGAGCTGTCGATATGCAGGTGGGACTTGAAACACCATCGAAGGATGAGAAGAAGGACAAGGCGACCGAGCGGCTTCATCTCCTCAAAGGAACGACGTCACACCGAGACAGCGGGCTCTTTGAGACCGAAGCTTCCAACACGAATCCATTTTCCCTGGCAGGAGTGGATTGGACATAAGAGACTCTTGAATTGGAACCCTCCCATTTGAGGAGATTCGACAAATACGAAGAGCGTACATTAATGTTTAGTCTTGAATTTTTTACAGTTCTCTTTGCAAAGAAACAGCGACGGGTGTCTGTGGCGTCAGGAGAAGAGCAAGTTTCAGAGCAAGCACGGCTTTGCCGCAAAGATGGCCCAGAAGCGCGGAAAGGACGTTCTCAGCAGCCACAGGGTTCATAGTACAGAAGAATGTATGGTCATCATAGTGATTTTTGATGACTATACATATATATATATAGATACACACCAAGTCTGTTTTTGTGTTTTGTTCTCTCGATGCCAGTTTTTCACGACTTGTTGTGTGTCTCTCGGAAGCTTCTTAAGTTTCTGATGCTTCTGAGCACGTTTACACCACCTGGTGGTCTTTGTAAGTATGAACTAGTATGACTGAAGAGACATCTTTTTTACTAAAGGTCTTTGCAGGACACCCTGTTCAACCAGCATCCGAAGTTGTCATACCAGTCATCCGTTTGACGTGTTCTTTTGATGGTCTGTTCTTGGTGAGGACAAGGAGAAGGGCGATAAGGATAAGGGCGACAAGGACAAAACCAAGGCCCAGCTTTTGGAATGAACGATTGGGCTCAGCCATGTGGGCTCAGAACTTCCGTCAAAGGAAGAAATACTTTGGCGCCGAGTCGGCGCGGACCCGCGACCCGAGGCCAAGGATAAGAACAAGGATAAGACACAGAAGAACAAGAACAAACCCGGTGGCAAGAAGAATCCCAAGAAGGCCTCCGGCAGCAAGCCTCGCAAGAGCAAGCCGGGCAAGCCCAAGAACTTGAAACGCACCGGAGGTCGCAAGCCAGGGAAGAAGGATAAGGACAAAGAGAACAAAGAGAAGGCGCAGCAGGGAGGTGATGCAATAGAAGAAAGGGGAAGTGAATTAAGATGTGTTGACTAATTACTCTGGTCAATTGTGCGTGATGGCCCTCTCTGTTTTTTTTTTTTCTGAAGGTTTTGGTCTTGCTCAGTTCCGTGTTCATTTTTGCGAGTTGTATTCCTACAGTTCGAGCAAAAGCTTGAAAGTTCAGACAGACAGATCAAGAATCAGAGGACATGACTAACTATATATGGCTCAAACATTGAGCTCCAGGAACTCCAGGAACTTCCTCTCGGCAGGGGGGTTTCTATTCCGCTAACATGGCACCCAGAATTGAAAAGCCATAGAGCCACATAGATTTTGAACTAAAGCTCCCATGTCTTCCCGCATGTCTTGCGGCTTTTTGCACCGAAGAACCATGTCTTGCGCTGGCAGTCCGACAAGCCCAAGACCGACAAGGAAGAGAAGGACAAAAAGAATGAGAATCAAAAGAAACAAGAGGAGAAGAAGAATGATCCCAAGGTGGCTGTTTGTCGTCTCTTTCTCAATCATCGGGCTGTTCGGCTCGTTCGAGAGCCGAGACCGGGCACCTTCTGCTGGAGCTCCCAGCAGCCCAGCGCTGGGTCCCGCCTTGGTCCCCCGGCATGTGGCTGCGAGGTGGACAAAGCTGAGAGGAGCATCAAGAAGCCTGGAAAGCGTCAGAAGGATGGTACTGACCTTGAAGGTGAAGTGACTCCTGTGACTGTCGACAAGAGGAAGGACCGAGGCGCTCCGGTCATCCATGGGTCATCCTAGATGGGTCAGTACTCGAGAGACGCCCCGATTCGATTCCTTGCCCAGACCGAAAGCGAGCCAGCCGTGCCCTGACTCTGGGGTCGAGCCGTCCAGATGGTGCAGGTAGCAGAAAGAATTCGAAGCTGAGCCAAGTGAAGAAGTCCAAGGCCTGGTTGATCGGATGATTCCAACGGTTTTTGTTTTTTTTTTAATTGTTTCTTCAAAACCAAGACTAAACTTGATCAAACTAAGCGGATTGTTTCTGGGCCATCCTACAAGCAAGGTCGTGACAGCTGGCGCTGTGCGGTTTGTGACGGGACGGGGACGGTGAGTGAGTGCTTTTTGTGAGTGCAAATGGATGTATATGGTATATATATAATCATGCCTTTAAAGGCATCACTGGCATCACCATCTTCCTTGGGTTGCCTTTTGTGATCTACTGCAGGATAGTGAAAGAACTATGATCTCCGTTCTCATTGGCTTTGTCAGGCTTTTTGAGTGAAGGGGACACCCTCATAGTGCTTGTAAACCCTAAGACATAGACCCTGACAGGAACTTGTCTCTCCAGTTTGCTCAGATCAGGGTTTTGAGGGAATGAC